CAAAATCTAAGCACTGTAAAACAGATCTTACAACTAGCTACTCATCTTTCAGTAGTAGGCACAGCTTCAAAGCTCTCCCGTGCCATCATATCAGCTCAAGAGACCACATATCTTAAAAAACAAAAAAACGACTCACTCATGGCTGTCTGGATATGAGAGCCTGCAATGGTAACCTGGCAATGAAGTTAATTTTCCTAATACACTGCACAAGTCGACTCGTTGGTCCTTAAAGCACTAGAAGGCACTGGATACCAGCCGTTTGAAAATCAACACAGATAATCACCACGACAGCGAGCACGTGGAGAACACAATCAATAGCTGCCGCTCACAGCAAGGTCACACCGTGACATGCAAACAAGCCCTGGCTTTCCTGTCCCGCATGCTAAGTAGCCGTGACTGCTACTTGGGAGATGTTTGTCTCTCGGGAAAGGCATCGCAGTGCCATTGTTTGTGAAATCTAATAGGCTTGTGTTGTGTTCGCTCGCTTTGTGCTGAGCAGTGAGCTTTATTCCCTCGTCGCTTCAGCAGCCTGTTTGTCCATTAATGCTCCATTAGGGAAATTAGTGCTGTAATTGGGGAGGCGAGAAGAGATCAGGAGACTAAAGTAAAGGAGACGTGACTGTTAGTCTTAAAGGGCCGGTGGACGTGGTGCGACCAGTGCCTGCTTGATGTGAAGGAAATTACTAACAAAGTGAAAATGTTAATTGATTTACTCTGAAGCTAGAATATAAAACAAGAGTTGAGGAAATGTAATGACACAAAATGCACACATTTATAGAGACATGTTCTGGAAGCATTTTAAAAATCTTTTTCCCAGGAAAAAGCACCAAAAAAAGACCTATCCTGCACGGTGCATGTATGCATGTGTATTGTATTTATCTTTCATCTGTCCAGTCAAATTCTCTTTCTCTCTCTGTGGAGAATGTTCCCTCCCCCTAACGCCATCTTCCATTGCCACTGACTAGTGTTATCAAGTAATGGTTTATGGCTGTGACAGAAATTACAGCCTTCTGGCTATTTTAAAAAGCCACAAACCCTTTCATAAGTCCCACCAAAACTTCCTGCTTCAAAAGGAAACACATCAACACAGGAAGGAAAACTGCTTTTGTCAAGCCACTTTATGGGGTTTCAGATGTCTCAAAAAAGCTGATGCCACCTGTTTCAATTTTTTATTATCTAATGCAATTACATTTTTACCCTAGTATTCAAAATTGTGGGGTCAGAAAGTTTTTTTTTAGAAAGAAATTAATACTTTTCTTCAGCAAGCATGCATTAAATAGATTAAAAGTGATATTTATCAAATAAATGCAGCCTTGGTGAGCAAAAGAGATTTCTTTTTAAAATCTTACAGACCTCAATCTTTTAAACAGAATACTGTTATAACAGTGTACGGTTATGTATACATGTACTTTTGGATGTGCATCTATCTCCAATCATGCAGTAAATACTCATTTATGATAAGAAAACCTTGTTTATTTAACAAAACAGAGGAGGCAGAGAGATGGAGGCAGTAGTGCGTGTGTGTTTAAGGGTGTCTGTTTGTGTGAACTTGCCTGAAATTCTCCAGGTCTGCCCTCTCTTTGTTATAAGTGTTCTTAAAGTAGCTGGCAGAAAAGTGTTCTTTTTGATAAGCTGCAAGTTACTGAAAGCTAGCTAGAGTAATCCCCACTTACTTGTATAGACGCTGCGATATTTTCTGTAGCAACATAAACCAGAGTTTGATCAATTTAAGCATTTAAGCAATGTCATTTTCAATATTGTATTTTTCTGTCTATACAGACCAGGGCTGCGTTTCCCAAAAGCATTACAAGCCTAAATTGATCGTAGACACCATTGTTGGCCCGATGCTTTTGTCCAAACACTGTCCTGCAGAGTTTAGCTCCCGCTTGCCTCAACACACCTGCTTATAAGTTTCTAGTACTGTATATGCTTAGTAAGACCTTGATTCGCTGGCTCAGGTTTGTTTAAGTGGGGTTGGAGATTAATTCTGTAGGACACTCCAGGAGTGGGATTGGACGCCCCTGCTGTAGATGTCAAATGGTTTTCATATGTGGATTAATCGTTTTACTTCAGAATACTAGTAATATAGTGCCATATGGAGTCATATGGACTTATTGCTTGTTTGTATTATTCATAATTGAGCAGCGTGAAAATTTTGTGTTCCACGGAAGATAGTGTTAGGAAATGATGAGTTTTCATTTTGTGTGTTAAATGTGTTGTTCTGAGGTAAATTAATGTTCTCGACTCCTTCGAACACACTATCACTGATATGATATCATTCTCTCAGGTCTGCTCACTGCCCGGTAGCCATTACTGTGTGAAAGGGAGTCGGACTCGGACCCCCGTGGCTTCCTGCCAGACTAATTTCCTCACGCTCTTCCTGAACAAGACATCATTTGAAATGAAATACAACCGCTTCTTCCTTTGCCTGGTGGTGGCAGGCTTTAAATAGCACATCTGGGGACACCAGTTTGTCCCGCCACCCTCGTGCACGGCCCAAACCCCCGAACATGATGATTCATGCTCTGTTTTCTCTCGAAACAGCTCAGCATCCTGGCATTGTGAGGACGGCCTAAACCTCGGGCCGAAGTAAGCATGAAAACCGTGGACGTGGATTTTCCCGGGTGGTCGAGGAGATGTCAGTCACCATGCCAGAAAATGATTTCTGCTCATGACAGCTCATTTCCAGCCTGCTGTTTATTTGTTCTGCTGTGTTTTTTTTTTTTTGGCTGGGTGATTTACCCCAGATCGGTGCTCCTAAAGTCTTGTCCCGGGGACTTTTAACAACTCAGATTTTAGCATCTCACAACTGAAAGCTATTGATGAGCCACTAAAAGGATTAGTAGCATTAAGGCTAACTGTATTCAGATATGACTAATGCCCGAGCAGGACCCGGAGGACTGAGAGGTGTCAAGTCAAATCGTTCAATAAGACCTCCATTAATCCCCCTTCATAGGCCTTGTTTACACCTGGTATTTAGATGCATTTTGGTCGATCGGATCACAAGTAGACGAGGGAGACACATACCCGTTTACACCTGGTGTTTTAATCCATCTCTTTTGTCCACTTTCAACCACTTCTGTCCTGATTTCTTCAAGAGGAGGGTCTATAGGCGGGTAAATGTATGGGTTTTTCCAGATCGTTCAATCTAATGGACAAAATAAGCTTGTGCAATTTACAATTTACGCGCCTGGAGAAATCGACTAAAAAATATAAGGAGAACAGCTTTCGTTTTTCTGCTCTAACAGCCGCAAGACCAACCCGAAAAGACCACTGAGTGCGTGTTTGAAATCAGGAATGATGAGAGAACATTGTGCTTGGTATGTTTTTCGTCTTCAAGCCAAACTTGGATCTTTAGCCGACAAAGTTTAAATCCCGTCTGGCTCGTGCGCTTCCCATAATGTTTATACTTTAAGTAAGTAGGCGTTCTTTTGTGGCTGTTCGAACGCCTTCGATCACATGAGCATCTACACTACGAAAGCAATCCGGTCAAATGCGCTTTCGACAATATCTGTAAGTGGTCGAAAGTGGACAAGCTCAAAACGTTTTAGACCCCGTTTACACCTGTATTAAGCGTCGTCCACTTGTGATCCGAGCGACCAAAACACCAAGTAACTTTTCCTCTGCGGTCGCCCTACAGGTTGGAAGCGGAATTGTCCATTACTGCTGTCGTAAATAATTTAGCCTACCGTCGCACGCACGCTCGTTGTTTATCCAGCACCGGCTTTGGAATAAACGATGTCCACAGACAAGGTAGAGTATGTTGCATGATTTCATGAAAGTATGATGTATTGCGACATCAAAAACGAAGAAAAACAAAATAATGACTATTGTAACGCTTGACGTAAAGCAAGTCAAATTTTTAGTTTTCTTATGTCTCATTAGAACTACAGAAACGCGACCCGATCTGGCAATCTTACATAGCGTGGTTATAGCAGATATAGGACCGCAAAGCGAAGGCAGAAGTGCCTTTCACCCTGTTACGACTTAATGAACCACTGAAACGATTTTGGAAACATTATTTTAAGGTAAAAAATCGTACTAGTGTTGCTTTAATACCCGGTGTAAACAGGGCCTTAGACCAAGAATCAGACCAAGTCATGGAAACCAAGTCATTTGAATGCACATCTCTCATCATCTTTCCTTAGATAATGGTCTTGCTCATACTACATACTATACTTTATAATGACTGCGTATTTATTTTAACAGGTTCATTTTAGAATACACTCTCTGGCGTACTATTTACAACAAAACAAATTCTTTATTTATTTATTCTGCTAAGGTGCTCTGGATAGTTTAGTGTTGCTATGCTGTGGCTTCCTGGTGGTTGGTTTCTGGCCCAATTCTCTTTTTTCTCCCTATTTTTGGCTCGGGTCCTTCTTTCAATGTAAGTGTATGGGAAGTGGTCACATTGGTCCTTGCAGAGTAATGTTTTTCAAACTGAGAGGGGGAGTTTGGGAAAGGCCCTGCCACTTTTATTCCATTAGATGATGACAAAAGGGATTATGTGTTAAGAGGAGTGCCATTGGAAGGATATCAGCCATTAGACCCTTTTCACTTTTACTGACCACTTTGCTGATTCTATGAAATACTATTAGGGTCTTTGGTGGCAACACTCACCACATGGGGCTTCACTAAACTGTATGAGGGCAACCAGTGCTGTAATTATGGGTGTGAATAGGGAGATTATTCCACACCTGACCCTTTTATGAGATTGGGAAAATATATAGGAGCCTCTCTGAGGTCAGAGTTTATAGGTAAAGGATGAAGGAGATATCTGATTTCAGCATTATAGCATATTGTGATTTCATAATAAGAGATACCTGAAAGTCAATGGTTAAGTTACTCAAAATTGGTTCACAGGTCACCAGTTGGTGTGATTCAACTTTACTGTTTATATTAGCATATAATGATAAATGCTGCAAACAATTATTCCTCTGTTTCACAACTGCTTAATTTTGTTGTCATGTTGACTTTTACTAAGATTAGTAATATTCATCCTTATTTATCATCCAGATTCCCATGGCATTCACCAACATCACTGATCCATTCCGGACAACTGGAGGATGGCTGTGATGCTGCAGTCATAAGGATAAAGGTGATATTCTTCCATAGCCTTGTAATAGAATAACTCAATCCCTATAAAAGCAATTGTAAGGTTATTATCTTCTTAGGGTCCCATTTGTAGTGAGTAGCACTTAGGGAAGGAGAGCTCGAGACTAATCTCATAGTTGGGTTTCTTAGTCATCAGATTTACCTTCTGCCAGCCACAGTGAATGTCATTGGGCTTTTTATCCATTGCTAATTCCACTGAGTCTAGTGAAACACTTGTGAAAGTTGGAAAATGAATAGTAGTGGATGACCCTAGCAAGGTGTGAAGTTGGATGTAAGCTGTGCCAGTTTGCGTTTCAATCTTAGTGAATTCCATCTGTGCATACTTGCTATGACATAGCATCCAGACATCAGTTACGGTATTTTTAATAGCTATGTTTCCATCCACCTATTCTTATGTACATTTTGGGATGTGGTATAAAGAAACACTGGATGGAAACAGCGAAATGCACCTAAATAGAAAAAAATGCATTAAAAAAACCATATACGCTCAATAAAGGCAGATCATTTTTTAAAATTTGATAAGAAGAAATGCGCATAAACTATGATGGAAATACATTTACTGAATAAATTCCTGCGCAAAAATTAATCTCATGTGACTTCTCAACATATCAATCTCATTGCTCAGCATCTCAAATGTTGGTTTGGTCATTCTAAAATGCCGAAGTGAAAGTCTGTCATGATAATGGTTGGGCATAATTACCTCCCAGAAGCACCAATTTCCCAGGAAGTGATGATTTTGTTCTCTTGAACACATGTCATGGAAACGGTGCTTTGTTCGCAAATGTTTTATGCGATATTCCAATTTTGCACATAAGTTAAATTCTCAACCTGGGATGGAAATACAGCAACTGAGAGTTGGCGATTTCTTATAATGTGAGCAACTGTAGCAATTGGAAATGCTACAAAAGTTGTGCTTTGTTGAGTTTACATTTATGCAAATTAGCAGTGGCATAATGTGCAGACTACCAATACGTGTACAGACAGTGTTGGTTAATGTGGCCCACTTTAAAAAAAGTTATTAATATTTAATTATTTTTAAAATATTCATTCATTCATTACTCATTTAGCAATATTTTAGATGTTTCTTAATTTTTTTTTTCTTTAACTGGTTTTCTTTGGAAAAGTTTTTATTTTATTTTTTAAAACTGTGCTTTTTTAAATTTAACTGACTGATGGTATCCTGCAATCCTACATTTTCCTCTTAAGGGCAGGCCGTCACGGGGGCTTTTATAGACGATGGATGTCACAAGTGTCAGACTAAATAAACGGAGGGCAGCACTGCTTATTTGTATGGCGTTAACAGGCGCGCAAAACCCCAAAGAGCCACGAAAGAGCCGGGCCGCCACCCAACAAGCAGGTAAGCATGGGAGATGGCCAATTCCCACACACAGAAGAATTCGCTGGCAAAATATACACCGGACAAACGCTCACCCGCGCGTACACACGTTTTAGCAAATAAAAAAGGCCTATGAGCGGGCCAGCTCGTATTGATCTTCTAGGATTATACAGTCTGGCTCTACGGGCTTACCCGCTTTAATTCCCCCACAAAATAGATAGACTGACTTTGGCTCTATACATATCTGGATCAATGCAAATGTACTTATGCTCCCATGGTTCAATTTTAAACGAATTCCATTAGCCATAAGTAAAAGTTTTCTAGGGTAATGTGATTAGGGTCCCCCTCACCAACAGACTTTCTACTCTGCAAGCGGTGAAATGTTTCTCTTTTTTCCCCTTGCGCCAGGAGCAATATCCCTCCGACAGACGCTCCTGTGATTGCGGTAGTAGCGGCGTAAACGCCACCTGTCTCCTCTCCTCTCTGTTCCTCTTTTTGAAACACCAGTTTCACTCAGTCTCACAGGCTCTCTGGTGTCCTCTTCGGTTATTCCCGAATCAGACTCCTCCAATGGCATCATCTAATAAAAGCCACCGGCGTGCTATCTCTCCTTCTTAAAAACAAGACTTCATTATTAGATTTAATGCATGAGTTGGATGTCAGCTGGCATCTTTGCCTCCATCTTAAATGCTAAAACACTGAGCTGGTGTGATCAAGTGAGACACAGGGCAAAGCTCCATGTAACTATGGTCTATGGAAATGGTCTCTTTAGAGTGTATATATAATATTGTAGGGCTATATTTATTGGTGTTTTTAATTGATTAATTAAATATCGCCAACATAAAATATAACTTGGTCTAAGAAAATCTAAAATCTTATTTTATTAGGGTATTGCTGTTTCTGAATGATTTCAGCTGGAAATAATTCCAACATAGAAACTTCTCAAAAATATGTTTTTTATTTATTTGTTTGTTTTTCAAATTTAAGCATAAACATGAAACTCAGGTCATGAAAAAATATTTATTTATGAATTAATTTGTTTGTTTTTTCAAATTTAGGCATTTTGATTTTTTCTTGGGCTGTTTATTAGTGTTTTTGATTGATTTCAGCAGATAGAAAATTATGGGAACATAAAATCTAACATAGTTATAAAAACTTCTCAGAAATATGTATTTTTTTAGTTTGATTGTTTATTTACATTTATTTATTTAAATTAATTTCCTTTTTTTCCTTTTTTTTTCTTTAATTAGGCTATATTTATTAGTGTTTCCCGAATGATTTCCGAAAAATTATTGCCAAAAATAAATCTAACTTTCTTAAAATGTATTTGTTTGTTTGTTTAAACTTATTTGATTTATTTACTTTCTTTTATTACTCTTCTTGAATCATATATTATGAATTAATTGTCCATAATAGTGCATTAGCGCCCGTCCTCTTTTTCAGCGGCGTTGGTTCCAGAAGTATTTTTTTTCTTCATTTTTCCAAGGATTTCTTTTAAAGTATTTTTTTTAAAGATTGATCAACCATGAACCAAGCTATGAGGTGAATCACAACACTACAAACTTTGATAAAAGTTTTTAAAAATTGGACACAAAGGAACAAGACTGTGTACTACAACAATGAAGCATTGCTAACTTCATAATCGAATAAAAAACCATGGAGAAATATAAAACTACTTATTTACAAATGTTGATTATATGTATACAAACTATATATTTTAAGTTTATTGCAAAATATGCACATATATTCAAACGTTTCAGTATTTTGAGGGAGATCGACTCGATTTGCAGTGCTTCATGGGAGTGGGTGGAGCTAAAGAGCTATTTTCGACTCTCTGATTGGTGTAATTTTCTGTACACCACCATGGGTAATGTAGTTTTTCAACAGGAATCCCACTGTTAAACACGATTATTTAAAAAAAAAAGCTGAAGTAATGCGGGCTGACGGTTTCAGCAGAAGCAATTACACAGATTAACATCCTCGTAGCTCACAATAGGTCTATCTTTAAAGGTTTATAAGTTATTGTTCAAAATCAATTTCCTTATGGAGAAATTGAAGGCAGTTTGTACTTCCTGAACCCGACTGTTGACCTCTATTACAAACATTTTAGTTACTTTTCTCTTGCTTTGAACTTTTCCCTTTGCATTACTTTTTTTGCATACTTCATCTCATCTTGATAAATTCTCTAAATTAATTACATCTGACAGACTTATCTATTGCTGATTAGGTCACACCATGTCTTTTCCCATTTGAAGGTGTTGATCAATATGGACCCGATTATGATCTGTTCAATTACGAATGCGTCCTCAATGCGTTACTCGCACGCTTACCCCTAATCCTGTCATGACATCAGACAAGTAGGCTGTTTAAAAAGAGCTGCCAAGGCATACAACTAACCACTGTTCGTTGTCCCCGGCAACTCCGCAAATTAAAATAAACAGTCCTGAGGGAAAGCTCTCCCACCCTCCCAGGCCCTCGGCCTGACCCTGAGCGAGAGAGAGAGAGAGAGAGAGAGAGAGAGGCTGACCATGAGATGGAGAGAGAGAGAGAGAGAGTGGTGCTACAGATGATGATGGCTGAGGTTGCTACTGTTCGCTGCAACATACAGGCCTGCAAAAAACCTCATTGTCATCGCCAGAAAAACAGGAGACAGCCATTCAGTTGTAAAAATTTGCTGACAAGGAACATTGTCTCCATTTAAGTAGAGAGGATAAATGTGAAGATGGATTCAAGTCATTAGGCTCCACCTAATCAAATCACTTTTGGCCATTCATAGCTCCTCGGGCTTCTTGAGTGATGCAGACAATTGAAAATAATTTTCTCCCTGCATCAAGTGCATGCCAGATTGTTAAAAGGAATGAAGAATAATTTTCTCCTTTTTACTAAATGAATCCACACCACAACATTTTCTCCCTCTTTTGACTGACAATCAAGTCTATTAGACTTGAATATTCGAGTGAGAAACATGCCCATTTTTTCTCTGAAACACCGTACAGTCACTCAAACGTGAGACATTTGTCTTCCTTTATTATGGCGTTATGGTCATTATTTTTCTTAAAACATGTATTAAAGTAAAAGGAATGGGAATGGCTCATTCCTGCAGCGATTAAGAACATGTATCTTAATATATTGGATGAAATATTAAACTCAGTTCATATTAGTTCCAGTAATTAAATGGTTCAGTTTTAAATAATTTCGCTACTTTGGTTTGAGGATCTTGCGATGTTCCCGGTTGCTACACTAATATCTAGAATGGAAAATTGTAATTTTATGAAGAAATATTCCAGGTTTTTCTTTAGGTTTTCCTTTATCTGATTCCAAAAAAAGAGAGAAAGTGATATACTTAGAATATTGTTTTAATTTGTACTGAATCTATATATTTTTAATGTTTTTAATGTCGTTTTCAATTCTGTTAGTCATGTTTGTCAAATACTACTAACAAAAGCCAGTTCCAAACTGATTTTATTCTCCAGGAAGTGATATTTTTTGTGGGAAGCAACAGTATAAATAACAGTGAAAACTATAAAGTTTTTGTGTAGCTGTGTTTGTTTCAGTTTGGCTTGTCTTACTTTAAAACAATTCCCTTATGTTTGAAAGAATACAGAAATCATTAATAATTTGGCATTTAAAAACATGAAAGCACTTTATTTCCTGAAATCCTGTTCAGTTTTTTTAATACATTTTCATTTTGTTGCCATCTTTTTAATTTCCTTATCAATTAATTTATAGTGTCTGATTTTGACCAGAGCATATTTCTGAAAGTCTTTTTCTAGTAAGACAACCTTAACTTAAAGTACAAATCTATACATATTCATTCAAAGATAGCTATAAAAGATGCTGAAGAAGATACTGAAGAACAGCAAATATGACCCTCTATAACATCCATCGATATAAAATGTCTTCTTAAGGGATATATAACAGAGATAGGAACCACAGTCAGCAATTGCCAACTTGATTTCGCGCTCAACCTCTCTTTCCGTTTTCTTTTCCCTTGTCCATGAGAACAGTCTCCACCCAGAGTTACTGGCATTTCACTGCAATATAAACACCACAGAAACCCAAACGGTGCATTTGCTTGGGATTCTGCTCACTAATGTTCATGACTATTTATATTAGCCATTTATCTCGTAACATATACTTTTGTCCCGCATCCCTGCAGCTTTTGGCTGCATACCATTTTTCCTTTTTCACCGAACATGTATGTGTCTCTGCAAGATTTAGAATCAGCAGTTGTGCAAAAACACACACACACACACACAATGGCCCACAAAACACCATGTCCAAATGTGTCTAGAGGTTTATGTGGGTGAAGATGTATACCGTAATTGTGATTTTGTGTGTGTGTGTTTCTGAGAAAGGTGCAGGTCCAGCTGCGTGTGTTTGTTTGTCTTTGGTCTGTGTGACCCAGGACACTGACAGACGGCTGAGGCTGGTGGACGCCCGTGTGCCACAGTCATGAGAGATATATGGTTCTGTGAACTGGGTTCACACCGTGGCCCTCTCTGGCATCTGGGTTCGGACCAGCGCATGTGTTCGTCAACGCGGTGCCCCTCCATTACCTAACGTGTCGGGGTTTCCGCCTAATATAGCCAAGGTGTGTGTGTGTATTATTTTTTCCTTATTGCTCATGACATTTACAGTCTCTGTGAATTGCTGCCGTTTTATGATGCCATTGTTCAGGTTTCTGTGAACCTGGAAGTGGGAAGTGACTGTTGTTGACTGTTGCATATTGACAATCAAACACACAGAATAGTGTACAGTATATCGAACCGCAGCAGTTTTAGCCTCGTATGTCAAAATGTCAGAAATACACAATAGATCCTATTCTGTCACCAACAACCAGTTAGGCATGCTGTTTTGAAAACGTACCTTCTTAACAATATATATATATATATAATATGAAAGATTTTATTTGATCACATAAAAATAATTGGCTATATTAAGTTTATGGAAAAGTATTACTCTGCCAAAATATATGTGCCAAATATATATCTGTATTTATGCATATAGCGGAAGAGATTAAAATGTAAGATGTTCATATTTACCTATTTACACACACACATATATATATACACACATGATAATATGATATAAAAATAACTACATTTAAGATAAATAAATACAAAGCGCAGTTTAACTTGCATGAAGCCTTACATTTCCAAATTAACATTTGCGAATAGTGGAGACGATAAAAAATTACCTTATTGATTTTATTCGTAATAAATGGCTTAAAGGGAGATATAATTTGCTCTTAAACGCTCATATGGTTGCCTTCTATCCTCTTTGTGGGCAAGATAATTAATACTAATGACCTCAGTTGTCAGTGCCAGTAATTTCATATAGGGGACTTGCTCATTTATTTTGGAGAATTAATTAACGTCTGATAATTATCAATTCTATTAATTACACATGTCAATATTTGGAGGGAAATGAGCCTCGCTTTTTTTTTTTCTCAGACTGTTTCTTGTATGTTAGTGTGGGTAAACAGAAGAAGAAGAAGAACGAGACGGGCTGTTTTTCACCCTCCCGTATAAACAGGACGGCCAGATAAATGAGTGCGGTGAATTCATACACAGGGAAATAGCCAGTGTTCCGGGAACAGCTATAATCTGTTTCTCTTTATCATTCGTCCGGAATGACACCGTTTAGCATCGCTCCCCGTTCTTCGGGACTCCTCTGCTCAGAATTCCAGGGCCGGCGATCTGCCTCGGACGGCAAAACTAAATAAAGATGTTTAGTGACAGGCTAATGAACAAATGGGCCCTCTTGATTTAACCTTGATGAATGGTCCGGCCAGGTGTTTTCAATAACGACAATAAGCACTGCAAGCCACAGGCCCACTGATACTGGTATAATGCATTATTAGACCATTAGAGGCTGGGGATGGGAGACCACTTACGCACTGGCCTATCAATAATGCTGTGTCCCAGTCTGCATTTAGGCTCGGGGAATTAGTCATACTGATATTCTATTTAATAAAAAATCACGAGAAGACGCATAAAGAATCTCATTACATTTTAACAGGGTTACAGTAACCCGGGAGGACCGCAAGTTTAATTTTCATAAGAGCATCCATTCTTCAATTATGTCAAGCAGAGAAAATGTAAATGGCAAATGGAATGCTAACAATATCTCTACAAGCGCATTGGCAGATAGAAGCCCAGGGTTCGGATGGAGAGGGACAGTGCCGCTCACGTGTTTGTGTCTGCACGCGTGTTTATGTGAAAGCGTTTCAGAGAGAGGACAGGGAAGTGCAGTGTTTTGTCGGATGCGATGTTGAGCCATTTAAATGCAATCAAAAGACATGCAAGTTAGAGACCGAGAATGAAAAGACGAAGGTGTGACTTTGGTAGCGCTGTAGTTGTTTCAGATGCCAGTGACGGTGTAAGTGAGAGGTGTCAGTCCGCCCTCTCCCCACCCCCACGGTGAAAGCGCTTACCCCTGAAGTGTCAGTAGCAGTATTGGCATGTGGCTATCAGCGCCCGGTGCTGTGGGGCCTCTGCAATAATAAACTGCTAATTGAAAGGCGCTCTCAGAGAAGGCCTGTTAGCGGGGAGCCAAGTTGCTGAAAGATTACTGCAGCACGCCGGCTCGCTTAGGTGCTGAAAGAGCCTATTACGCCTCTGCTCTCTACCTGTAAGGGGTGTTAATACAAACCTGTGCTCTCACTCTCTCACTTTTCTTTTTTCAATGGGCACCAACAAGCGAGGCTAGTGTCAGGATGGAATCTGGGAGTAATGCGGCAAAGTTTTCATAGACAAATTTATCCTGAGACTCACAAACACATGCTAACACTAATATTTTTTAAAGCACAAGGTTTCATTGGTTAACTACTTTAGTTAACATGAACTAAGAATGAACAATACTTCTACAGCATTTATTAATTATGTTCATTTCAACATGTACTATGGAAATCAAATGTTGTATTTGTTAACATGAGTAAATGCACTGTGAGCTAACATGAACAAACATGAACAGCTGTATTTTTATTAACAAAGATTAATAAAAACTGTGGCAAATGTATTGCTCATTGTTAGTTCATGTTAGTTAATAAACTAAAGTTAACGAATGAAACCTTATTGTAAAGTGTTACCAACATAACTTGATTTTTCTTGCTTTTATGACTTGGATTCTCAATTTATTTAAGATTTAAAAGATTACAACAATCAAAATAATATCACTTTTTTAGCCTTGTGACATTATTTTCATGACAACTATGTGCTTTTTTCCCCCTAAAAAAATGTTATTGAGAAATTAAAAATATTGTAATTTGATAGGCTATAGTGTTTATATGTTATTACATATGTGGATATATGTTACACATTGTTTTAGTGTTTGATATATTGCCTTTATGCTGATTTGTTTAAAACAATAATTTAATAGTTCAATAACCCCTCAAATACATTACTATATTACAGTAATGAGAATCATTATTAAAAATAATAGGACTAACAAAAAATTGGGGGTGAAATTGGTTTATTTGCTATATATAATAACGGTACAATACAAATTATCAGCCTTTATACAGCCTTCAAAATATCATTTAGATTTTTTGTGAGTAGAACATATTTCTGTGTGATTCTCTCCTCATCTGGCCATCTGAAGTCGAACTGAAAACCCTTGCCCCCCGCCCCGCCTGGGCCTCCACATGTGCCGGGACCTTTAGAAAGCTGCAAAACAGGGGACTGTGTGCCGCCCGGCCATGCAGAAAGCTCATAATCTTTTAATACGCGCTGAGGAAGGAAAGATTAAAACATTTGGGTGTTGACAAGTGACAGGGAGTCTCTTCTAGTGTGTAAAGCATTCTGAAGCCGTCACACACCAAGGGGTTCTAGATCATCCCAGGCCCTCCACTTTAATTAAAGTAATTGGCTTTCCACATTTCTATCTATAGACGATCAGGTATATCTTTGAGTAAGAGGCTTAGTGGAAAAATATTGTGCATAATTAGCTGCCATGCTAAGCAGCAGGCAAAAAATGCACTGGCTATGTCAGACCAATGATTGATTTCAATCTGAAATCCTCTCTCAACCCGTTCGCTCTCTTGTGTCCGCACCACCCAACTACTTAACAGTTTGTTCTCTGCGCTTGTATTACTTTAAGAGGAGCAGCTGCAACTTCGTAGCAAAGCTTCTGTGTATTGTGTTGTGTTTGAATGAAAAGACATCTTGTCGGAGTAATTGCATTACAGAACCAGTGTGTCTCAGCTGTGGTGCCATATGTGTTTCTGTGCGTGTAGGGGAGGAGGTTCTGTGCTATTTCAACAAATAATATTGTCGTAGGCTGCTGACAGAAATATCTTTGCTTTTGCGGCATCAGGCCCAATGTTAATATCTTCTGGTAAATTATGTTGGATTTTTACTGCTCTTTCCCAGTAATTACCCTGTCTCTTTGCAAATCCTGTTGCAGTTCATTTCTCTTTATGCTCACACCCACTGACGGCCTGTGGCATAAGTCCATCACATGACGGCATGTTCTGCACATCGGTCTAATCATATGGAAGAGATGATCACAGGGCAGGAAATCACTGAACGGAGCCAAAGGAAACA